GCGAACAGCCGGCTGGAAGTGTCTGTGGTCGTCAGTCTCCGGCCGGCGGACACCAGGTCGTATTTGGAAGTGACGTGATGACTGTCCCACTTGGACAGGGCCCCGGCCAGAAGGTCGTACTTGGCCAGTCGGCTGCTGAGGAGGGCGGCGGGCGGGGCGTGGTCCCAGGGGTACGTCCAGCGGGCCATGACGTCATGGGCGGTCAGTTCCGGGGACAGTGGCTCCAGCACCACGGGGCGACACGCCCCCAGACCCAGGCCAGGGTCACGTGACCAGCCGCAGAAATTCGACATGCTGTCCAACATCTTCCACTTCCACGACCTACGTTTCACCTCCACACACCATTAACATCTTTTACTTCTTCCGCGATCTACGCTTCAGATCTAGATCCAGACACCATCAACATCTTCTACTTTCACGACCTACGGTTCACATATAGACACCATCAACTCTCCTCTGACCTCATCCAGACACCATCAACTCTTCTACATCCACGACCTACGCTTCACATCCAGACACCATCAACTCTTCCCTGACCTCGGTTCACGGTGACAAAATGGTCAGTGTCGGACACACACACACAGACACACAGACACACACACACACACACACACACCGCCGCTCTGCTGTTGCACGGGATGGAGCTAGTCAACACACCTTCAGTACTTCCTCGGGATCTGTTCTTTTTCTTTCCTGCGCGACGATCTCTTCCTTTGATCCAATCGCATGGCAGTTATACTTCAAAACGAACCAATAACTCTCGTATGTATCTTTCCCATGCCTTAGCGCAGAATTTTTTGGGCGTCTGTTTATGTTTCCCAGCGATTCGCGTCAATTCAGAGCGCAGTGAATGCGTCAGTCCAAAATCCAAAGGTGTAATTTTGGCCACAGGGTAACCTATATATTTAGATATATATATAACCTACGATTGAAATATCACACGCACTTTGTGAACGCACCGCACCTTTCCGCCTGCGCTTCAATAGCAGAAGAACAGCAACTAATAAAAGAAGAGATCACAAAGTAGTTTGGGTGACTCGCTGAATATATAGATCTATACGAGAAATGTTCCACAGGTAGAACGAACTCATTTAGAAGGGAGACTACCTGTAACGTAGATCTACACTCGCAAATATATTATCATTCCACAATTTTACAGAAGTTGGGTGAGAATATGATCAGCCATTCACTACTTGCAGTTCACTTACATGACGACTGAAACAATACATAGATTTCTATCTAGATCTAGATTTATGCTCAGAGCTGAAGTACCGAAGGAAATCCAGATGTGTGTAGGAATCTATATCAGACGGGGAATATTCAAACAAAATTCAAAATAGAGCTTCCTTACGTCGTCGCCCAAATGGTTTTGAACTCAATCCACCTCACGTGAAAACTTCTTCAAGTCAGCTCAGAACAAAACGATGGTGTTACGACAACGGCATTGTGCGAGATCCGTTCGGAAAGACCACTGACTCACTCACTACTCGCTGCATGCAACAAGGCGCTCGCCGTCCTGTTGTTAAATCAAATGCCACAAACTTTCACAATCCGCCTCGTGTCACAAACAAACACATTACGATGATGAATCCATCACACTCCACAGACAAGATCGCGGACTCCCGTCCCAGCAAGCGAACAACAACCAAAAACCGATGATGCTTGCGTGTGCGCGTATATATGTGCGAATGTGTAAAATCTCCCAGAGGAAAACGCACGCTAATAAAAACGAGCCGTGAAAATAATTATTCTGTTCAATGCTGTGGAGCAGAGAAATGCTTGTAAAGCCACCTCACGCATCCGCGGCGAGGAGGTACGACGGAGGGAACGAACGCAACAATTTCACCGCTGTTTTTACATTGCACCCAAACCTGCCGCCTCTTTGCAAACGGGAGGTGGGAAGGAAGGAAGGAAGGAAGGAAAGACAAGACGAACGTACGTACGTACGTGGGGGCAGGCGCGGCCAAGTCTACATACATTCAACGCGCTCGTCTTCCCCCCTCTTTACGCTGGCTTCCCTTGAGCAAAACAAGACTCGTTTCATTCATCGTCTCCGAGGCCCAACCCACACACACACACACACACACACACACACACACACACACACACA